TATATATATATATATATATATATTTTTTACATAAATAGTCATCCTAACTCTATTCTATAATCTCCACTAATTTCCGTTTGCAAAAGTGCTCTGATATTGTTTGAATTAATTTCAATAAACCCTTTTTTCCAGCTTATTTTTATAGGGACAAATATTTGCTAGCAGCTTACGAATAGTGAGGTCACAAGACCTCATCCTAAAGGTTCTATTTTTGACCTCCAAGTCTTTTCAAAGGCTTTACGCTGATAAAAAAAGGAATAGAGATACGTAACAGATGACTGGATGTGTAGACATTCAGAAATAAACACTAAATGGATAAAGTAATAATGAAATCAGTACTGAAAATGAATTAATGAGCTGTATTTTGCCTGTCTACTTGACACTTATTTACAACAAATCAGAGTTATGGAAATCATTATACAGCTTGAGATTTAGCTAACCACATGGATCATGGTTTTATGTTAAATGGATGAAATTCAGGGGGTCAGCGGTATGTTGGGATAGCCAAGGTCTTGAATCAAACCAGAATCAAAGGGAAAGTCATCTGACTTCGGCAGCATTCGAAGGTTTATGCCATTTAGGATGTTTGGAGAGTTTATAAACTCATGCAATGTGACATTAACATCAATGTCTGGAGAGTGCGCGTCTGCAAAGATATCCAGAGGGCTCTCTGAAAAGTTGTGTTGGAGGCATGATGGTGAAGTGTGGGGGGCGGTTGGAGAAAATGCATCTGGAACAGTGCACTCGCTATCACTGTCCAAAATACTGTTACGCATATCATCATCAGTGGTAGAGCTGGAGAGCATTGGAGACTTCTCAACCATTTGGAGCAAGAAGTCATCATCACCCGCGTCAGAAAAAGAAGGAGGGTCTTTTAAACATGAAGGAGATGAGAAAGAAAGAGAGATGTTATAAACCCAATAGCATCATTACAATAATAACATCTTGTATTTCTGATGCTCTTTAGCTTCACTTTTTAAAAATAAAGGTTCCAAAAGGAGGTTTTCACCATCGCTCTGACATAGAAGAACCATTTTTAGATCCCCAAAGTACCTTTCAGTAAAGAACCTTTTTATTAGTCTGAAGAACATTTTAATAATCTAATAAACATTTTACACACTATAAAGAACCTTTGGTTCAGTGGAAAGGTCCAAAGGATGTAAAAGGTTCTTCACTGAACCATAAATGCCAATAAAAAAACCTTTATTCTTAAGAGTGTTGGGTCAGCTTTAGAGATGCACAATATATCGGTACCATATCGGTTATCAGCCAATTTTTTTTAAATCTAACAACCCTGTTAAAATGAAATCTTTAGCAAATCTTAAAATGATCATAGTGTTCATTAATACAGTAAAAACCCCTCATTTTAGTGTTTGACATCTATTAATTTATTTAATCAAAACAGTGCAGAATTTCAAAATCGGCCATAACTTCAGCTTATCGATATCGGTGCATCCCTATATTTTGCATGTGCATGTGGCATGCAACCTCAAGCTTCCACAAACGTTTTTAAATCAGTGTTACTGTTATGGTTAGATTTGTGTGTTATTGAAAAACAGCAACACCACAGTCACAGCCCACCACACAAACACAAGGTCTCTTTGTGCAAAGTGAACCAAATGCACTTGGGTAGGGAAAGAAAGAAAGGAAGAATCTAAACAAAATGACGAAGTTGACTGGGCCTCTGAATGACAGAGAAGCATCCATAAAGGTAGCATCTATCAGAAAGCCTTTTGCAATCATGACACATTTGGTGATCATCCAGCAAATCAGATGCAGGTTAGGGTCCAGCTGATTGGATTTGGAGGGGCCGTGGAGGCGGGACTCACCTCTGTCCTGTGTGGACAGGTCAGATTCTGGCCCCTCTCTGACGCCAGAAGAGCCATTCCTGCAGCAATCAAGCACAGATCACTCCAGTAAACCAGCAGAACAGCCATCTCAGTGTCTACTCATTCTTACAGTCTGTTCGCTCCAGACCTTCACATCATCACACTTATCGACAAATAATATTGCTGTAACGTCTTGAATGCTGTTATTTCACAATGCGACCCTCACATCATCACATAATATCTAGTGATAACCTGTATAATCTATACACAGGCAGCAATAAAAAGTACATCTTATTTCTAAAGCCCAGATACACTTCATTTTCCATATTCTGCTCCTTTTCGCAAACATCAGCAGACTGTGCTGATGATGAAAATTATGCCTGCATGTGTGCGGGACCACATTTGCAGTAATGAAGCACTGAACTAAGGCTGGTCGATATATTCAGAGTTCACAAATTAGCTGGTGACATAAAACGAAAAAATATCATGAATAGTTATAGTAATGCGCTTTTTATTTGCCTTGTAAATTTCCGCTATTATTATTGACTATTACGGACTATAAGTATAAACAGAGATCATAATGCCTTATGATTAAAACTTTAGAAGCAAAAAAAAAAAAGGTTTCAAATTCAAGAATAAGTCCAAACTTTTAATGAATCATTTCAAAACAACTGATTGAACTATTCATTTGTGCTAGTAAATAATGCCATTTATGTTTGATATCTTTTGTATATAAATGAAGCTGATTAAATATTCTTAATTGTTTATGATGAAACATTGAAATCTATTTGGCTACAATAGCTGCTTGGTTGAAATTATGAGGAAAAAAATTAAATCACAAGATACTAAATATCACTGAAAGGCTGAAAAACTGCTTTTTAAACAGCAAAACAGTAAACACCAGACCAAAGACAGCACATGTGCACTGTCATAAATGTTATGTAATAATGCAAATTATGCAAACACACAACATGCAAATGTGAACCAATAAACAAACAAAGACTTACTTTTTAGAGACAAAAACCAGTTTGGTTTTGAGGTACTTCAGGTAAGGATTCTCCTCTAAAGCAAAAACATCACAAGACAAAGAAAATTATTTCTTGGTGAAACAATTTAGTACTTGTTACATTAAATAGGTTTGGTTTAGGTTAGTTTGAACAAATGTTATAAAGCATAAAGAAAAGAAAGTTCTAAATAATAATACGTAGATATTGCTTGGGGTAGTTTTTTTAATATTAAAATTTATTCCAAAACAATTGGTCAAAGTGTAATATTTATATTGTAGACTAAGGGAAAATGGCAAAGTTTTTATTTTTTTTATAATGTTGTTACAATGCCTGAAATTCACATTCTACATAAGCAACTTACCTCCAGTCTTTTCACTGTAGTATTTGCCGAAGGCCTGGTCTTTGGGTGTGTTTGGGTAAAGGTAACACAGTGGGTTAACTGGAATATTTTCTGCTACCATGATCCAAAAGTCGCAGAGGATATCAGGTAAAGCAATCTGCTTTAGGTCAGTACTGGTGAATGGTTTCACTGTTTGAACACTCGGAGTGCCTAACAAAAACAAATGTGTATTCAGTCTCACATTCACTGGACCCTGTGTGGCCAAATACTGAACTATGTCTGAAAGAAGTACATATTATTTTATGACATGGTTTACCATCGTTAGCGTACTGCACCCAGCTGAATGTGATTCCTCCATCTTTGATGCTTTCGCTAAAACGCAATAGGAAAGTGCCATTCTGCTTCTTCTTTAATAAAAGTCTCTCCTTCCCCTTGCTGACAAAGCCCATTATAGACCTACAGTAACAAACACACTTGTGTTGAAAACACATACACTCCATGATGACTTTTGAATCTATCTATCATCTATATATAGCATCCATACCCATCACTCCACAGGTCTGACAGGTAGAGTTTAACCAGGGTTAGAATGCCATCCAGCCACACCCACAGGGTGAAGTTTGTATCAGGGAGGTTCTCCTAAACCACACACAGACAACCATGAGTAAACAAAACACTCATACATCCATATCAGGCATTTCACAAAGACTTGCATAATAGTGTTTTTACCTTACTGAACTTGGTCCAGGATATCTTACAGCTGTCATAGCTCTGTTGTTTACCTAATAAGAAATATGACATTATTAACAAATACAAGATTACTTTATGACCTTTATATTATGTTTTCTATTAAAGAATGAAAGGTGTGGCAAGTGCATACCAAAGAGCTTGATGGCAAGGGTCTCCAACTGATCATTGTCTAGACCACGTTTCCCACAAGAGAGAAACTGCCAACTTAGCATTTCCCCAAACTGTGGCCAAGTGGCTGCAGGTGAGGTTTCAAAAAACTTGACGTTCTAGACACACACACAAAAAAGTGAATTGTAGTGATGCAAATAAAAAGAAAACTATTCTATTATGATGATTCAAGCTTTTCATGAACTAAAAGCAACTCTTGCTCCTGACCTTGGAATCTGAACAGAGCATGTTAAACCACAGAACAGATGCCCACGCACTCTGCTGCTGACTGGAGTTTGAAACCACCACAACAGGAAGGGAAGAGGTCTGGGATGGAAAAAGGAAGTATTGTCATAAAAACTGGACTGCCAAATCTATGGAATGTTCCAACTTGGAATGTACTGAGGAGGTTTTGAATGAGGAAAAGATGTTTCACCTCCAAAGGGACAGACAGGCCTTGATAGTCAAACTGGGTTTGAAAGGTTATTCTGTGCAGTTCTTCAGTCACACTCAATGAGAGCTGCACAAAACACAAAACCAGATTTATAAACATACAACTCTGAATTCAGATTTTTTTTTTTTTTTATTACAGCGTCGCACAATTAGTTATTTGTATTTTGTGGAATTATTTATCTAAATATCACCAGCACTGTAATTCAATGTGTTTTATTAGAAGCGACTCTTCACACTCTGCGTTTTCACACTCATTTGGAGTGTTTGTTTCATAACCTGGCATGTTTTATCCATTCGTTTTGTTCGTTTAGGTATATTTTGAAAATTGCACTCGTTTAGATACATTTTGGCTTGAGATCGACTGAATGAGATGGTCTTGGCCCAAATAAAATTAAAAAAAAACTCTGGAGTGGTTAGCTTGTGACGAGAAAGCAATCCAGCTCAGTTATACACACATGTGACTTAATCAGCAAGTCACTAATACTAAGTATTATTATTATTAAGTAGTAATATAATATATATATATATATATATATATATATAATTATATAAGTAGAAATATTATTATTACAATAAGAACTGAATCAATATTCTAATTCAATTCATTAAAAAAAACTTGCCCTTTAAGACTTGCACTATTTACTAACTGCTTGTTTTGTTAAAAAAAAAAAACTAACACTAGCTTCTCTATTCTTTTTCTGTTCTATCCGTTTTCTTTTTATTGATTATATAATTAAAAAAAACCTTGCTACGTGTACTGCGTTAAGCTAACTGAGACTTGTTATAGCACTTGCGTATCATTGCTCTTTTGTTGATTTTGATTGATCCTCATTTGTAAGTCACTTTGGATAAAAGTGTCTGCTAAATGACTAAAATGTGTTAAATGTGTTATTAATGTAAATGTAATCACATTTTGGGCGTGCTTTGAAATGTTTACTTGTGAAAGCAAACCAAACCAAGGAGAAAATGAATTGCAAAATTTAAGCCCCAGTTCCCTTAATCTGCATTGAATATAGAAACCAGTCATGTTTCTGTTGTTGACTATTTGCTGGATTTATGCATGTTACGTGCCACAATTCAACTAATAGCATTTATTATACATAAGATCCTTAGAAAACTCACATCATTGATTCCTTTTCCTCCACCACCAACTTTCTGATCTTTCAAAGTCTGTGAAAAAGCACATATACACAATGATTTATCATTAGCACACAATTCATACACAACGATTTATCTTTTTATCTTTATAATCATAATTTGGTTAAAACAAATGTAACATGGTCTGCTGCCAAATTGTCTACCACGGTATATTATCTCAGATGTTGTTTTGCCGTTACTTAATATTAACTAAACATTAAAAATGAACAAGTTCATAGTATGTAATAATGGTATAATGTTGCTTTGTTTGGCAATACATTCAAACTCACACTGGAAGGACTCACCAAATGTCTGAAATCAGCAACCATGCCCCCATTCATACTCTCAGCCATGTTAAGAGCTTTACTTAAGGTACCCAGCACATTAAATTTCCGAAACCTACAATATAAACACATATAAATACAAACATGGTATTTAAAATAACAGTCATGAATTTGTGGGGTAGTAAAAATCTGTGTAAGTGAACACTCACCCTTTTAGTTGTGAAGCAGCACTAAACAAAAAAATGGAGGAAAGAGAGTAAGGATTCTTAACCACCAACTGACTAATTTGAAACCATATCAAAACACATAAATCTAACAAGAATGACTCTCAGATTCTATAGTCTCAGAAATAAAAATCATACAAAATGAGGAAAGAAAGAGAGACCGCGATCTTACTTGTTAACAGAAACAGTCACCTTCATAACATGGTTCAGTTCAGAAACTTTATATAACAATCTGTAAAGAGGAGAGTTATGGTCATTTTACGCCTGAGGGGAAACATTTTTTTTCTCCATTTCCATCTCAGCAACATGAACTAAACATTTTTGCATTGAATCAATTAGCAGACAAAAGCAGTACTGATATTTAAGGGAAGTAGGTAACGTTCACAAATATTTTTAAGTACATAGTTCCTTAGAACTAAAAGGGGTCATATACAGGACAGTACACTAAAATGAATTAACATTCTCAGTTTTCTAATGTTTGAAAGTATATACCTGTGTCACAACCAATATACTGTATGACAACGAAGCATAATAATAATAATCATTGCTATAGTAAATAGGATCAATACTGGTTTTCACAGTTTCATAGGTGGTGTAATGCGTCGTATAATGTTAAGAGTCTGACCTGACTTTAACTGAGAACTGAACATTTGTGCGCAGCACCAGGGGGCCTCGACCTTGTGGCATGGATGGCTGAGTCTCTACGACAAATGAGCTGAAAACACACCAACAAATAATGAAGCACATATGCATTAAGAGAGAGTCGTGTGTGTGTTGTTGTGTACGTGTTTGAGTGTACCTCTTTATCAGGTGGGTCAGTAGAGTGTCCACTCTACTCTTTAAAGGGGGTTTTCGGACTAGGATAGGGTCATTATCGTAGGTCATCTTCCCTACCAGCTCATCCAGCTTCTGTAAGAACTTTTGCAGCTGGAACATGCACTCTATAATTTGAGTGAACCTGCCGAAGGCCATAAACATCTTAAAAACAGATCTGAATGGTGTTTCTACAGATCATCGCTCAGAGAAATTCCTGTGCAGTTACCATTTCTCTAAGTGTTCCAGACTTGTATCATCAGGAGCACCAATGCAGGACTTCTGTTGTCTCCACTTCCAGTCCACCAGTTCCTCGTCTATAAGTGCTGAGCGTAGAACATCAGCAGCGTCCAACATAGCCGAGATATCAGACAGGAAGTTCTGAGACAATGATACAAGAACAGCATGGTTAATAAACAATTCATTTATTTACTAGGTTTAGTTAACAATAATAAGCCTGAATAGAATTGAATAGAAATGCACACAAAATTTGCCTACCCTTCTGCATTTATCGAGTGCATTGAGCATCTTCTGAAGCCCTTCTACTTGCATTTTCTTCTCTTCTTCTGTGCAAGCTAAAGGCACATGAAATACACACACACATTAACACCACCATATATAGTGAAATCAAAGACAGTGTTTAAATAATGTGTGTAGCCTCACAGTCCATTAGGTGTGTCTGATATTTAAAATCAAACTCATCCTGCTGCTCCTCCAAACACCTTATGCTGTGCTCCATCACCTGCAAAATGAAACAATGAATCATGTTCTTGAACAAACACACAAACAAACACACACACACACAAACATGTGTATACTCACAGACACACACCTCTACTTTGGTCTTAAGGTCTTTCAAACTCTTTTCTACTTGTCTCTGGCTCTCCAACTCCATTGCCGCTGGCTGAACCTGCAATGCCTGCACCTGAGACATTGAGAGAGAATCAGAAGATGCTGATGATGATGTTGATAATGAGAGTGATGATGATGATGATGATGATGATGATACTTTAAGGTACTAACTTGCTGTGCAAGCTCTGCATCATTCAAGATTTCTCTCTCCTTCACCAGGAACCAGTTGATAATAGTAGCAAGAGTATAGGGCTCCTCTTGATACTTCTGCAAACAAGCAAGTGTAATCCATTATCCCATAGCTGTCAATGATTAACACTTTATTTCTGTAAATGAGAACATATCAATAACTATAACTATAAATAGATTTTTTACCAGCTGATGATGAACAATAAAAATGGAATTATGTTCACAGCACACACAGAAATAAAAAGAACCTTATGATCAGTTCGTGTGGACGGTAACACAGTTGAGGTTATACTTATCGTGCCTGGTGTAAACAGGCCTTTAATCTACCAGTATTGTTTTTGTTTAGCATGTTCAGCATTTTTAGATCCTCAGAAATCCAAAGAGGGCATCGGGCATGATGGTTTTGGCAACAGAAGTACACTTACCTGAAAGTTTTGTTTGTAGCGTCTGAAATTACGCTGTAGAAGGAAACTATCTTTCTCTTGCGCAAAACGACTGAACTGGTTGTCCAGATTCTCCAAAAGCACCTGAAACAGGAACGCGGCTCGGGAGGAGTCCCGCGAAGCACGTTCCCTGTAACACACACAGACTTGTTGATACTCCTTGATGCAGCTGTGTGCTTATCTTCATCCATGGTTATTAATATATTTTGGAATAGAGAACTATAACAATCAATCCACAGGTTTTACTTGTTGCTCACACAGGTACTGCACTCACCAGTCCTGGCCCTCGATCCAATGTGCCAAGTAATGTCTCACTTCCATTGGGAACTCATCTCTGTTGTACAGATCAAAAGCCCTCTGTGAATACACTGTATCCAGCTGCTGCAATCGCTCCCACTGTGTCATTCTACAAAATAAAATAAAAAAACATTTCATATTTGTCAAAAGAACAAGGATTGGTCAGGACTAGGACTGTCCTGCCACTGCTTTGCAAGTCAGATGTCCGAGCTTAAGCCCTGTTCCAGTGATTATTTTCAAAAACAAGCCAAGGAGAGAAATCCTGGAGTTGTTTGGAAGTTGAAGCACAGAATAATAATTTATGGTGTGACTTTTCAACATGGCATTTTTTATTGTAAGGGCAAAAGGGTTGTCATATTGAACATTTTTGGTCAGTAAGAATTGTTCTTGTATGAAAAAGCACTGTAGAGATTCTTCTTCTTCAAAAAAAATTTTTTATTTAGACCAAACCCCATTTATAATGTTTCAGAAGATTCCCATTTTATCTTTTTTTACTTTTTATTCAAAGAATCTTTTTTTTTTTTTTAAACCACACTTTCCACAATAATAAGCAATATTTTTAATTGAAATCATATTTCACAATTTTACTGTTTGACTGTATTTTGATTAAAAAATGCAGTCTTGGTGAGCATAAGCATTTAAAAAAAAAACTTAACAACCCAATCTTTTAAAATAGTGCACATCAAATTTCCAAAACGTATAACTGTTCCATAGTTGTGGCTACATCATGACATTTTTTCCCTTATAAAGGCTTGTCAAAGTCAGCCATGTTGACCAGAAATGTTTTTAAATGTAATTTCCATTGCCATCATTTCAATCATAGAATGTTATTATCAGACAAAACACATAATTTGAGATGTGTTGGAAATTGTGTGTCTAAATGTCCATGATAAAAAATGACAGAAGAATGTTGTACATATTAAAGTATTAATAAATGAAACTAGCTAATAACAGATGAAAACGTGTTTTAAGTACGTTGGCCCAAGGCTGAAGAGCATGCACTCTGCCCTCACAATGATAAAGTTCCCCCACACCTGCACACCACACCACTCCACTCCACAAAAAACAAACGGAAAAACTGACTCAAGAACTGCGTTTCTAAACACCTCGGTCATAATAATGATATAATCTACTAGCGTTATGTACAGTAATCGTACACTAGACCGATACATTTGATAGCACAATGACTGATGGTGATTGAATGAGCATCTTATGGTAAATATTAGCGTATAAGTGAACAACTGACCTGAAACAATCGTCTGCACTTTTGAAGAAGTAATCCTCAAACCTCAATTTTGCAAAGCGCCCTTTACAGACATACAGTAAAGTCAACAATACAGCACTGAACTGAACATCAGCTGACGAGTAAATAAACACACGCAACAAACACTTCTCAGGAAACCGACGGCTCTTCAATAAACCTCCCTCTGCTGTGCCTTTCCGCTGTATTGTGCTCAATGTTTCCAACGCGTTGCACTTCTGCCCACCCACTAAATCATTAAGTCCCACCCAACTTGAAACCGTCGCGTTCGTTCATTGGCGCAGACGGGCACACTGACCACCACAATTGGTAGAATCCCCCGTCAATCAAACTTCACAGCAGAGAGGTGTTGATAGAACAGCGGTAGAAACGAAACTCAAAAGCTCTCTTCTCGCGTTCCAAGAAATGACGAAGTGAAAGTCATGTTATGGAGGGATGTACCTACTACTGCCTACTACCGAGGAAATTTAAAAGGCCATACCGTCTCTTCACGAAAACATTATGAGATCAACATGTGAGAATACGTTAATAATACTTTTCTTTATTTTACACTATGCATTTATAAAACACGATTATATTATATAAAACAAGGTGTTCAAAACTGAAATACTGGTAGAAACATTTCTATTTGATTTTACTTGTAACTGCTATACACCAATTACACAGTGTTGGGGAAAGTTACTTTTAAAAGTAATGCATTACAATATTGCGTTACTCCATAAAAAAGTAACTCATTACGTTACTTAGTTACTTTTTATGGAAAGTAATGTGTTGCGTTACTTTTGCGTTACTTTTTAAATCTGGACAGGGCTTGCTTGTTTGTTTTTAAAATAAAAAAGTTATATTTTTGGCAAATATAAAAGCCTTTTCACACCAAAAGTGAAATGAATAAGCCTCAGGCTGAAGGGAAAGTAAATTTAAGTCCGTACAGTAGAATGCAGAAGAATAAATTTCAACACACTTCAGCAATAAAGAAAGACACACAAATGTTTGTCTAGAGTAATTTGTGCTTATTAGTACGGTTGAACTGGATCATCGAAGGTCAGAAGCAAAGACATTGGTTAATAGAATGGGATTAAATATATAAAGTATATTCGTGTTGTTTAACATTTAATTATTGCATATTCTAAATTGCATTATTTTTATTCATTTTGAGGAATACTGAATCTGTGTTTTTTTTTGTGAGTAAGATTAATTAATTCATATTCATATTTATTTTAGAACTGCAGTAACATCTTCTGATTTCTCTCAACATGGGGACAGGAGAGCTGTCAATCAATAAATTGGGGAAAAAAAGTAACTTGCGTTACTTATTTGAAAAAGTAACTCAGATATTCTCTTGTAAATTAAAAAGTAATGCGTTACTTTACTAGTTACTTGAAAAAAGTAATCTGATTACGTAACTCAGATTACGTAATCAGATTGCGTTACTTGTAATGAGTTACCCCCAACACTGTATATTAAATTATAAAGTTTGGTTTTATGCTGTCTATTCTGTTTATCTTGTAATCTAGTAGTGTTCTAGTAGCTCCTCCCACTGATGCCCTATAACAGTTAAATATTACCCATGCTTAACATGAGTCAAAGTCTTAGCTGATGCTGGAGAACTGATGTAAATCTTGAGTAGCTACGTTATAAGTGGCTACTTGTCATTCCTGTTATGCAGTATATTTTGAAGTCTGTAACTAAATTAAAGGGTTAGTTCACCCAAAAATTAAAATTCTGACATTAATTACTCACCCTCATGTCGTTCTAAACTCGTAAGACCTCTGTTCATCTTCGGAACACAAATTAAAGGGTTAGTTCACCCCAAAATGAAAATTCTGTCATTAATTACTCACCCTCATGTTGTTCTAAACCCGTAAGACCTCCGTTCATCTTCGGAACACAAATTATGATATTTTCGATGGAATCTGAGAGCTGTCTGACCCTGCATTGACAGCAACGCAACTGAAATGTTCCCAAGTCCAGAAATGTAGCAAGGAGATCTGTAAAATAATCCATGTGACATCAGTGGTTCATCCGCAATTATACGAAGCTACAAGAATACTTTTTGTGTGCAAAAGAAAAAAAATTACGACTTTATTCCACAATTCGTCTCTTCCGCATCACCCTGGTGCCATTTTGGAGAATATCCGCTGGACGTAAACAGTGTATGCTATTCTGTGTCAGCTGCGTCACATGGATACGCTGTTTCCGTTCAGATCAAATCCCAACAACGTTGGAAACAGATCTGGCGTGACGCAGCTGACACAGAACAGCATATGTTGTTTAGTCCAGCTGATATTCTCCAAAATGGCACCAGGGTGATGCGGAAGAGACGAATTGTTGAATAAAGTCGTTATTTTTTTTCTTTTGCGCACAAAAAGTATTCTCGTAGATTCCATCAAAAATATCATAATTTGTGTTCCGAAGATGAACGGAGGTCTTACGGGTTTAGAACGACATGAGGGTGAGTAATTAATGACAGAATTTTCATTTTTGGGCGAACCCTTTAAAATAGGATGCTCAAACTCAGGCATTATTTACATAATGACAAGAAAATTAAGCATGATGCATAAAAAGGGTGTCTTCTGAAACATTAATGATACATTATATCATATTATAATAGTATAATATATAAAAATCAAAATATTATACAGATTTCTATTACCTAACAGTATGGAATGTTGAATGAGGAAAAAAAAAGAGTGCTCATATTTGGGCTGTTATTATTTCCCACCAAAAAAATAATGTCACTTCCTGCTAATGTCATTAAATACCTTTTGGATATTAAGGTATTTATGACTGAACATATTTATTATGACTGAACATATAGAAATAGAGCGTTCTAAACATCATTTACTACAGGTGGAAAAATCCTTGAGGCCATGGAGCAATGCAGCTGTTGTTCTTGAATCTCCTCATCGGTTTCTCCTTGGTCTTTTACTGGACAGCGAGAGTTCCATCCTCCCAGCTGTTCTGGTTCATTACGAGGTCATCTTCCTCTTTCATGTTGTTCAGCAGATATTTAATCCCTGCCTTCACACCCGTTTTTAAACCAGCCCCCAACGCATAACCGGCAACCCCCGCGGTTCCCCCTGTTACGGCCATGAGGGCGTCTGTGCCCAGATCCACAGTGCTGAAGATGGCTCTCTCTTTTGCAGTGTCATAGCAGCTAACCGAAGCATAGTAAACGGCTGTTCCCAGATTATACAGCGTGGAGACTGCTGGAATCCACTCCACTACTGTATACACTCTCTCCTCTTTTTCATTTACACAGTGATGTTGAGGGATTCCGTTTCTGCGCCAACGGACAGACCCCACCTTGCAATTCTGAATCCAGCTCTCAAAGTTAGATGAAGGCACTATGTGGCTTCCAGGCCTCAAGATAACATGGAAATATCCAGAATCGCCATCCTGGGTCACACCTGCACATTGGAATCCCAAGCTTCCACAAACCTGCTGTGCTTCTTCAAGACACAATGGCTTGCTCTGTTCTGCGGCCTGCCCGAGAAACCGAGTGCCTTTCACTCTCACCCATCCATTGCAATTCCCACTAGGCCCAACTTTACCCTTATCATCTTTCTCACCCACCTCAGCTAGCTGATTAATGTTAAATATTACAGCCTGTAGGTGACGTTGAGACTCAGAGTTCAGCATAGAAGGAGATGAAGGGGTTTGGAATACACTGTGATGGATCATGTGTGCTGAATCTCTCTCTTTACCTCTCTTGATCAGCTCCAGAATGTCCTGTAAAAATTCATGTGTATCATTTTGCCCCAACACCGCATAGAGTTGCATTACCAGTGCTTGGGCTTCAAACAAACATCCTGCTGACACCAGCACGGGCACCATTGCCAACCCTAATAGCTCCTGAGAGAAACCCTTTCCACTCCAGCCTCCATTAGAGAGCTCTGCACAGGTTACATTGCTTTGGAGATCCAGCTGACCTTGTAGAGAGGCTGAGAGGTTTGAGACCAAATGATGGGCGGCGGCAAGATCATCTTCAACAACTTGTGATTCTGCTTGCTCTGTTTGCGGCATTGAAGTGACTAAAGGCCTCGGGTTGCTTTGAGGGAGTGGAGCTCTGCCAAATACTACATCAGACAGTAAGAGGTGGATGAGAAGTAACCATCTGAGTTTTGAATTCCTTTTAGTCATGTTGAACTGTGGAGACCTGCAACATCAAGCAAATCATGGTTTCAGTGTTGAATGTTTTGAAGGAATTGCCCACCCAAAAATTAACACTTTGTCATAATTTACTCATCCCCATGTATGTCTTTTTTTCTTCTGTGGAGCACAAAAGAAGATATTTTGAAGAATGTTGGTAACCAAACAGTTTTGGGTCCTATTGACTTGGTATTTTTGTCCATACAATGGAAATCAAGGGCAACTGAAACCGTTTGGATACCAACATTCTTCAAAATACATTTTGTGTTCCAAGAAAGAAAGTAAGTCATGCAGGTTTGGAACAATATGAGGGTGAGTAAATGATTTTTCATTTTAATTTTTGTGTAGACTGTTACTTTAAGTTACGTTTGTGCATGCAGTGTCCATGAAGCTGTTTATGTATATCTGCACAAATATCTGCAGCTGTAGCTACACCACAGGGGTGAGAACATGAGATATGTGTATTTGTGTGCTTGTTTTTTTCAAAGTGGAACTGGATAAAAAGAAGGAAGGAAGGAAAGAAGATAGGAAAAAAGGGGATGAGCACTTTTTTTTGTAAGAGTCCTCACTCTAAAAGACTCTCCTGCTTTTCTACTTACACTTCTTCTCTAAACATACCTATATATTTAACATAAAATTCAAGTTATTGAAATAAAATAAGTAAAACGTCAACTTTGCTTCTCATTTATTTATTCATTTACTTGTATTTTATTTTATAATTTTATCTAAAATAATTTTGTGTTTATATGTGGTTTTTGATAAATATATATGTGGTTTTTGACTTTTGGACCCTACTGTATTGTATTTTCAAATGTATTTGCAAATGTATAATCCAATTCTGATTTACTGTATGAATGTTATTAAATAGTTTCAAATTAAATATGAATTAAATAAAACAAAAACACTTCCATCATAAGGTTCTATAATATAATTTTTAAATAGTTTTTTCAAATTAAAAAATTCTCAGCTTCTCAAGCATGCAGTCTGTCAGTTTTTTTTAAATCTAAATTACAGAGGAAATTATATCTCAACTCATTTGCATGTTACACTTGCTTTGACATGATTGATCTTCAGACTAATATGAGAGTAATAAGGCTCTTACCTTCTAACAATCCCGATAGTACCTCTCTGTTAGAATCCAGCCTTCACAAAAACATATACATCTCCCTCTCTCTAGTTTTGTCCCCTTCTCTCTCACTGGCCCCATTGCCCAGTGATGAATGTGACATCACGTGGATAGGATCAATGTGTTCTATGGGCGTTTTGTTTATTTACCCTCATGTCCCCTCTCTTCCTCTCATTCTCTCTCTCTTGAAGACTATGGAGGGGTGCAGGGGCTTTGTGTTTGACCCAGATAAATTGCAGAATACTAGTTTCATGCCTGGGAAGACTGTGTGAGAGTGTGCATGTGTGAGAGAGAGCAGGATTGTGCACCCGTGCGTACATTTTTAGTGAAGTGATTATAAAAAGATGGAGGACTTCATGTTTTGTTTACAGGTCATTAC